AGTCATAATACAATACGGTTGACAGTTATTTCTTATTTAATTATTTATAATGAAATAAGAAATACGTTGTATATTTATTATTTAGAATTTTCAAGCTCTTATAATATGTTGATTTATAATACTATTGTATTTATTTAATCATCGACTTAATATATAGTTAGTTAATTTGCTTCATTTTATAGCCAAACAGGCAGGTTTTATTAATTAAAAAATAATAATTTTTATTTCTTACTCCTCGTTAACATTTTAGCAAAGAAATAATTTATTGTTAAAACAACCGCTTTTACCATTTCGTGGTTGTCCATCAGTTCTGTTGCCAAGTTACTAGATAACTGATCAATCATTAAATTCATAAACAAATTATTCAACATCTTACACTTAATGTCCATTAATTTTCCAACAAATTGTTTAAAATGTAGTACTTCCACAAATTCAATATTATCAAGAAAGTATTTGTGTAGCTCCGTTTATGCTAAATGAATCTCAGAAGCCAGATTTGTTATGCACAGGTTAATATTTACATGGTCATAAGGACATAAGCAAGGCACATAGAAGAACTAGAAAGTAATAGAACCGTTAAAAGACAGACAAGGTATTGGTTTAAGGACAAATTTAGCATAATTATACCTAGTATAATTATAGAAGGGAAGACTGGATAAATGATGTATCCATTCAAGCTGAGGCATATGACTAAAGAACGCCGGAAGGCGTAGGAGCTGGAAGAGTAGCACTGAAACAAGGAATAACTTTCCCCGTAAGACAAGAATTTTCAACGTCAGATGTAAGAATTTTCCAGGTGGAAATAGAGACAATCCATTATTATGTAGAATAAATAATAAAAGCAGGAAGGAACACACCGTTCAGTGGCTATTTTTACTGCATTGGCTATCTAGCAATGCCTAAGGTACTCGGTTCCATGGAGATCAGTTCTAGACTAAAGCTGGTCCCACACGATGCGATGTGTCAAACACCTTCCAACGTTGGACATATGGACATTTGCCACATCGTGTAGGAGACACACTTGTGAATTGCTATATTGTCCAAGCTTATGCCAAAGTTGGAACCAACGTTAGAAGTATCGTATAGGACTGGCTTAATGTAGGCTATATGTGTGCTCTAAATACATTGGGTGAGCGTAGTAATGTTACGTTAGCCTAGGTACCGGGGTAGGAGGGTTATAGGGGTAACGAATCGGCAGAAAAATTGCGAAACAATGCTCATCAGTGCCATTCATAGGTTCAAAACACTTCTGCCAAGCAGCTGCAAAAACAATAACCAGAATGGCCACAAAATAATGGGTAATAAACTCTCCAGAATGGTGGAGAAATTCACCAGGGCAGAGTCAAGCGAAAAAGTTCATAGTAAAACATTGGCCAAAATTTACGGCAGACATGAAAAGCAAAGACAGAAAGACTGTATTAACTAACTACAATGTTTTAACACTAATAGGCATTGTAATCTTAATAGGCATCTTAAGCTGATGGGACGAAGCTATGTGCAGATTTTGTCAAACTGAAGAAGCTAGGAGAGAACAGGTAAATGTGCGGATGTTTGTATTAGGCAATGATAGGCAATTGATAAAGAGCTTTATGAAGGGTTCAGCTTTATGAGGTTCAGCTGTTTAAAGAGGATTGAAATGGAAAATGTAACCTAGAGATCAGAAGAGGTCTAACAATAGATCTAAACATGTCGCAGTGGAACAGGGCGAGAGCCACCTCAAAAATTTAATCTAATGTGTTAATGCTAAATATATATATATAGGTTAATATTAGTAGTCCTATTTATATATTATCTAATTGGTTATTATAATACGGTATACATGCGATTATGTATTCTTTTGCAGGTAAAGTAATAAATATTAAATCTAAAAATAACATTCCATATTAGTGAACATCAAAAGACGGTTAAGCATTTGCCTAGTATAAACAAGCCGAATATTTGAAAAATTCTCCAAGGTATTTATTCTGATAATAAACATATTTCATCGTAGAGGCTTTAGTGTCTGCTCGAATCTTTACATAATCTGTCGATAATACAATATTTGTATTTGTTCAAAATTTACATACATATATAACTTCAGGCCAAACGCATTCTAAAAGAATCAACATTTTTTCCGGGTTAAAGTCGACTTAAGGTAATTCTCGAATATACTAAGAACTTAAAAAGGTTTTTAAATTTAAAAATAATAACGGTCCTGGAATATACCTTCCCTTAGGTTGAGTAGCCCTTTGTTCGGGAGATTTACATTTTTATAATATTTAAGCATTCCTGTCGCGTAAAAAAGTCTTCCCTAACCTTTTCATAAAACAAACATTTGTTTGGCTTGTAAAAATATGTTGAACGATTTTAAATAATTAAATTCATAGTGGATTTTAATCTCTTGAGTGTTTTACTGACGGTAACTCTAGTTTTTTTACCACTTTCCCAATAGACGTCATTCTTGAGAGTGCAGAAATAGCCAAAACTGCAGTTTCTGTGATTATACTGTATGTGTACAAATTAAACCATAAAAGACATATGCCGGAAAAGCTATTTTAAGTCATTCTCTACTGACTATAGCTTAGGGATGTAATGAGCCAATAAAAATTTTAAATATACATTTTACTACAACTGCGTTATTTCTAAAACATCAAGAAACTCAGAAATTTCTTTTCCCAATCCTTTATTCCAAGTTTTTTTGGAAAGAAGAGCATTTGAATACTGTACATTCTTCCAGTATATATGTTTTAATAAAAACTACAATATATGAGGTTTTTCGTTTATTAAAACAATACTTCTATACATATTGAGAATTAAATCCTACCTAACTTCACAGAAACAATATTTTTATAACTAATAATTGTAATTTTTAATTAACATTTTGAGAAACTTACCCCATATACTTAACCTACCTAACTTTTTGAGAACTGCTGATTTTTAACTAGTTTATTATTTTATAGCCCTGTTGCCAAGTAATCAGGTAAAGTTTTCTATTATATTATCAGGAGAATGTTTAGTGCAGTAGATAGGGTAAGCCTAACTATTCTTAAATTATTAATCTATCAGTAATAATGTTTCTTTTTCATTATACAGTTTGAGTCATAGTTTAAATTTATACCAAAATTATCTAGTTTGCCAATTGTTTCATTAATATAAGACATATTCCCGTTTTATTGACTACAAAAAATAAATATAGAAAATATATAATTTTAGGCATTTATCTTGATTAATACCACGTTTTTTATATCTCAGAGATTTAAAGACTATGAAAGAATGACCGAAAATGACCCTTGAAGACTAAAACTGAAAAATAAGAGGGCAATTTTTTATGAATTAGATTTAATTTTCGGTATACCCTCCATAGTGGATCCTTTATACGAGAAAAGTGTGATCCGAGAAAAATAATGACATTGTCCAAACTGATATTAATTTCTGTCATGGGATCCAGCTTCAAATGTACTGGTGTGACATTAATCGGGCATATTTTGAGACAGGGGAAAAATAACATGCGACGGAGAACAATGAACGGGATTGAAGAATATCTATTCATCTTTTATATTTCGAAAATTTTACTAAAAAGAACTAGAAAAAAACCTTATATTGTCCTACGGCTGGAGAGTTAGTAACGATTACATTGAGTAATCGTTTTTTCTATATAAATTTTTGTCAAATGGTTTAAATCTTTTGCCTTACATTTACATTACAATATTTTTACCATAAAATTACGCACTTCCAGGTACCTGTTAGCATTTGAGGCATGAATCATTGCCAGTTAATATGTTATATATAATATTATAACATAAACAGGGATTTCCAATATTTTCATTGGGATGTGTCTCCAAAAAATTGACGTAATACCAACTTTCTTCCTTATTAATTCCTTATTCTTCCTTATTAACTTCCTTCCTAATTACATTACAATATTTTTATCATAAAATTACACACTTCCAGGTACCTGTTGTTAGCGTTTGAGAAATGAATCATAGCATGTTAGTATGTTATATATCATATTATAAAATACTCAGCGATTTTAAATATCTTCATTACGATGTGTCTCCAAAAAAAAATCATATAACGCGAACATGTATATAATATTTATAAGGTGATTCATTGAAAGAATATTGCAAATGTATTTCTTCTGAGTTGAGTGGGAAATGTGGGAATATATTTAAAGAATCTGCAAGTTTATCTTATGTAACTCGATGCTGACTAATAATATCAAGTTTTAGATGCAGAAACGTTTCTTTGATTTAAACGATCAAGGTCTCTAGAGTGGTTTCTCGTCAAGGACCTTACCTATCTGTATATATTTTAAATTAAATGCGTTAGCTAAAGTGATTTGAATGCATACAATATGTACAGAAGTTAGTTAATAAGTAAACTTCTAAATAACACTAAGCCTGTGCCAAAATAATATATTTACGGGCTTAGTAATTGAGTTAAACTATTTCTATTATCTATCAGGCAACAAAAATGCAAGTGTGGGAATTCCTTGAGGATATAGATATAATAATAAATATTTTGAAAGTAGGAAAAGACATATGGTTTTATTATATCAGTTTTGTGGTATTTATCGATTGCAAATAGGATCTTCACGGTTTGAGCAAGAACTGAACACACCTACGCATACATTAAGAATGCCGTGCAACGAACTAACTGTCACTTTTAATTCAACTTTCGATGACAACGAATAAAGCCGACATAAAAATTATACACTCAACAAAATACTTCAAAGATACTCTAATTAAGGTTATGGTAAGCATATTTAAGGTACTATGGTTAAATAAGATCATGCAAAGCAACCATAAGGTAAGCTGTATTTCGTCAGAATAATAAAAGTCATGGGCAGCCTTTGGAATGCGGTATATAGTCAAGACTGGACGTCAGTCAGTTGTTACAATGACACACCGGCTGTACGTGGCGTTGTCAGCGCTGAATTGTTTTTCTTGTTTGTTTTTAAAGAAAACTTCAACCTTCTACTTTATGTATTCTAAATTTTATTTGGAAACTGTTTCTTTTACCTAGTAGGAGACTTCTTTTGGCTTATGGGTCGTATTGGACGTGAAAGCACATGGCATGCGCCTAAACGACAATTTTCGACACTGCTTCTGGCACGAAAAAAATGCAAACAGAAACACATTCGCCGGTAGTTTTGACGTAGTTAGCCTATGACATCGATAAACATCAACACACACTTAAGAAAATACTAACATACCACTGAAAACTAATTAAAAAATCACAGAATCCGAAGCGTACAGGTTAGAATTGGTTTTGTCCACAAACACCGTTTTTTTCACTGTCTGCTCGTTGAAAATCGGATTTGGATGGCTAAATATTGTCCTTCCTTTGAAAAAAGCTAATGTTTTACTCGAAACACCGACTTAGTGATAAATAACAACAATGCAATGACTTGTGTGACGTTCCGCCTCGAAACAACCAACCCCCATAGAGAGACAGCAAAATACTAATTCGGTCGGATTCGTAAGACTGGCGGACTAGCGTCATGATTCCGAACGCAAGAAACTATACCCCACCCAGAATGACGCATGCGCCGTTTAAGTATTAATTCTCTTTCGAGCTTTACGGTTTCCCAAGACCGAACTTGTCTGAATCTGAATTACTTTGCTTTCTTACTTTAAAACTGAATAGAATTTTCCTTTAAATGAGTCATATAGGTATACATTCCTTATAATCGACAGATTAGATAAAAGGTTCCATTAATTTACTCAGTCCTACTGATGTGCATAGGTAAACTACTAAGATAAGATATGCATGTGTATATTAAATACATATACACTGATTAAAAGTTAACAATACAGGTAACTTAACAAATCCTGTGTAATAATCTATTAGAATTTTTGTAATTATTTTAATTTTAATTTACAATTAATTATCTAGATTTAAAAAAATAGGCGTATGTTAGGTTATAGATACATTATATTCTAACGTAACATATATACCTAATTACCTGGCCATGTACATGATGCCTCCATATACCTATATCAAAATATATTTAATCTACATACTTTTTTGTAGCTATAGTTCTTCTAAGTCTACTTTTAAGGGCATTTTTAAATAAAATTATCAGCATCTGGCAACAGTCAATGAAATTTAAAGAGCAACAGAGATTATTGCGCGGTGTTGTCGAGTCTAACGGTTTAGAAAGATATCTACTGATTTTCAGTGCTTCTAATTCTTTTTAGATTTACATACATTTTGTTATTATTTTTAAATTTTTTCATATTAGACGGTGGTCTGCTGATAATATTAGACTGAATTCTGACGTAAAATTACATTGTCATCTATTAATTGTTACGGTTAACGTCTACCACTACTTGAACGTTTGATCTGACAACTGCGCTAGGGTTTAGTAGCGCCTGTACTGTATAATGGTATAAAAATATAAAGTTTCACTCTGTAGGAGGTAATAACGCATGTTTTCTATGTGTATGAAAATATAACTGTAAAAATTCAGTGATGTTATGTAAACCAGTTTCTTTAAAATACATATCCTCTAAACATTGAATTTTATTTTAGTTTTCTTTTTCTTCCTTTAACTATATCACGAATTTAGACCAGGTGGTAAATAAATATCACATAATTTATGTTAAAGCAATTACATACTCTGTTCGTCGCCACCCCTAGTAATATTATACGCATATATAGACGTATCTGACTGAGAAAACATTTGTAGTTCCTTTGTTAGGGTTTTTGAATATAATATATAAAAAAGTATATTTTTTATACCATATTTATTTTTTTTAATTACTAGAGTAAATTGATAAAATTTAATGTGTTCTAAACCTTATAGGTAGGTTTCAATATTAGTTCAAATTAACGTGCTACAAATATTGTTCGAAATAAAATTAGTTGTGTATCAATTATTACTAAATATTTGCGCTATTTGTAATACGATATCCGATATTGTTTATACGAATTTAAATTTAAAAATAATTCACCTGTGCAACCGTTTCAGGGGCATTATTAAATATCTGTTTTACCCGCAATGTTTCTAAATAGAATATGGAAATTATTACGTATTATATAAACAATTATTTGTTATTGAATACTATTAATTATTTAATGTTATTTAAATAGGGTTTATTTTAATAATACATTTGTTTACTATATTTATGGCGATGATATAACTAATGAATTTTTTGGAGTAGGTAATGGTTTTCAAAAAATTGTTAAAGGCTTTAAAGTTTTCAGTAACGTCTAGAAAACTTTACCAATTAATGATTTTTTCAGCCCTTAAACATATGTAAGTGGAAAATTCAACCACTAATTAATTTCTTTTACTCTCAATTCATACCCTTCCGGATAAAAGGAAAAGTATATTTCTAATTAGAATACATTCTGCATTCTGCACCCTTCAGATAATTACCCATTTCAGCTCCAATTAACGAAATTTTATTTCTTTGATATCATTCTGTTTATCAATTGCTTTTAAAAATTAATGTTTTTTTGGGCCATCAGATTCTTAAATCATTAAATTAATAACCTTATCGTAATTATTATTTTATTTCGATTAACAAAATATTGTTACATGATAATCGATACATAATAAAATATTGAAACTAATATTAACTGAAAACTAAATTTTAGTATGAAGTTAATGCAGTTAGCTGTTAAAAGCTCAGTTATCTATCGGTTAATGCTTCTTTTTGCAATTCCGACGTTTCCTGTTTTCTGATTTTAAAGTATAAACAGAGGAGCCATCTATTGAGCATTGGTATAAAACAGTGCCATGTAGTTTCCATTCAATATTACTTAAGGCAGATGCAAGATGGCGCTGCAATATATATTTCGATCGATTAAAATGTCCTAACCAAGGCTATGGTTGTCAGCTTTGACCCAAGCTGATGATTTGTAACATAAACGTATAAGAAAATATTACAAATGTAAAATATACCTTATTTTCTTTAAAAGTATTTATTATTATTATTAGTCGCTAATTTTAAGGTAATTTATTAGTTAATAAAATATTTACCGTAGAATTCGCAACGTTGAGGTGAGTTAACTTACTAAAAATATGCCGGTAAACATTTTTAAAATGTAAGATAATAAAGAAAATTGTTTTTTTTTTCTTTAATGTAACACATAATATGACATATTATGATGCTGATCCGTTTTTGCACAGTAGTAAATCTTATTTTGAAATAAGTTTGGCAACGTTACATGATAAGGGAAATTTTAAATTCCAGAGAGATTAGACCGGGTAGAGTTTGCGATTATTTTATATTTATATAGTTTTTGATTTTATTCCATGGGAATAAACTGAGGATAAAAATATCTAGGTACTAGGTAGATATATATTTCCTTTTCGTTTAGGATTAGAAAAATATTAAAAATTATTTCTAAAAATGTAGAATTTACTAAAATAAAGGTTTAATTTAATACTACCTATGAGTACCTACTAGGAGTAAAGTCAAATTGATAAATGAAAAAACGGATTGGTTAGAACCAGGCTTGTCGATTCGAACCGAGCAACAACTTGTTGATTCAGTTCAGTCTCCCTACAACCGCTGCTTGTATCACCGGTTTTTTTTTCCAATAACAGTACTCTTTCATTTTAGATTTAAACATGTCTAATTACCATAAACTCGAAGCTAAAGTTGTTCAAGAACTAAAAGACATAGCAAACAAAATAAGGATTCATTCTATAACCTCTACGCAAGCAGCGAAATCCGGGTGAGTTGGTATTAATTTTTATGGTTCCTCCACGCGGTTCAAGATATCAAGCGGTTTCAAGTCTGGTCTGTTCGCTGGACTATAATTATTCTGACACGCTCTTACTGTTAAATATGATATTTGAATTATTTACACTGCATAACGACATCTGTTGCATGACTCCATGCTTTTTTAATTACTTTTTTTCATTCAGTAAACGTAAAACTATTTATTTTTTTTTGAAAGCGACTATTTTGTATTGTTTTTCTTTAAGGTTATTTGTTAGCTAGCGTAACCGCGCTGACCCTTGTTAAAATGAATTTTAATCGTTTAGATGGTTAAAAGCGCAGCATACCAAAGAATTATTTAATTTTATTTCGGTGTCGGTATCAGGGGCGGATACATGAATTTATTTTAGGGGGGGGGCCCAAAATAAAAAGTAATGTAGGATATGCTTTTTAGGGCGCCATTTTTAACAAAAAAGCCTAATATTTAACACAACTTACAGATTTTAGGGGGGCCGGGCCCCATGGGCCCCCCCCTCTGTATCCGCCACTGGTCGGTATCATATTTTATCGCATAACACACAAAATATTTATGTTTAATAAATAACTTATGTCATTTATATCTGAAATCAGTAAATAAACAGTTATACAAATAATAATTCGGCAGAGTTATGTGAAATAAAACCCGTTCCTTTTAGTGGTTAGATATTCTATATTAATTTTTAAAGTGAAAGGAGTAAGTAGAGCATTTTTAGAAAGCTATCTACGATAACTTAAATGAGATAAGATGGAGCAACAGTCTATAATTCGAATTTGATTGAAGTATATTAGTTGTTAAAATATTTTCAATTTTCTTTGTATGGTCTTTTTAGATATATTTTGAAAACACCCTAAATAGAGGGATGAACTTTTAATATAATGTGAAATTTTAATAAATTATTGTAAGACTTAATATGGGTTTGCTATGAAGTGAATTTATAATATTCTAATTACACAGACGGAAAATTAAAACGAAAATAATATATCAAGGATGTTATTAAAATATTAAACATTCTATATCATCTCTTAAATATTTCAATACTATGTGGTTTTTGTATTTCCACTATCAAACCCTTAAATTTTATTATTCATAATTATATATTATATATTCCTGTATAATATTCGGAATATGTAACTATAAGAAAATAAAATTTATAAAATATATTCATTTCATCTTACACATCGTTCAGTAAAGAAAATCATCCATGCATTTAAATTAATAGAGACTATGCACTGGATTAATTTAGTATTTTACCCCTTGTAGCAGAGAAAAAATTGTCCTATGCAATGTATGTGACAGACATCATAACGGTAAATTGAACACATTCCACATAGAATATAAGGGAACCCCCATTGATTTTTGGACCCCTAGCTATTTTTCGAGAGTTACCCCACTCGCAATTTTACCGTCTATGGCCACAGTATCAGCTGTTAGGTATTAGACGATAATATATACAGGGTGATTCTAAACTTTTTTACTTTGTCATGGTAAAAATTTGATACAAGATATGAACTATATAACGTAGATGTAAGTTTAGGGTTTACTAAAAAAATAAATCTAATAAATATTATTTTATTTATCTTCCGATAAGAGTTTAGACACTAAAATTTAGTTTTATTATTTTACATATACTGTTTTTGTTAATTTGAGGCAATAAAAACAATCCAACACTATAAAATATTTTGGAACTTTTTATTTTGGTTTAAAATTTACTATTCTATTTTCAAAATTTGAAATTTGCTGGTTAAAGGTGCGATTTCCTAGCGACATCTGGCGTCCGCGGCCCTCCGTACACTGGTTCGTTTTTATGTACGTACGTGGTCGAAACAGGTCGAAACCTGTATTGAACGATATGTATGTGCAAGTAATGTATCACTTTAAGGGAAACAAACTACTATACCGCGGGCCGCGGACCCCAGACGTCCCTAGAAAATCGCATTTTAATATACTGTGTTTGAAATATACCATTTAATATAAATGAGACAAAAAACCCTATTGTGCAGTATAAAAGTGTTTTGTTAATTTTACTATGTTCTTTCTAAAAAAAACGTTCTTTGTTCTATATAAATACGAAGAAATCCTTTGACAATGTGACAAATATAATAAAGACAAATGTAATAAATAAATAACCAAAAATGAATATTTTTTTAACAATTTTCTATAGCCAGTTATGAAATTTGGCGATTTTTAAACCGTTACTCTTACGAAAACGGTAATGGGTATAAGAAGTTTTAACCATCATCAAAAATAGCTCAAAAACAAGGGCTCAAAAAAAATTTCTTAAAAATCTAAAGCATCAACGCCATTAAATTATATATTTATATTTTGAATCTACACAACATTTCCTATAAATGCTGAAATTTTTATAGTTTTGTGGCTATGTTTACTATTTTTCTGAGGCTGTTGAAAATCAGTAAAGTAAATCAGTAAAAACCAACAACCAAAGGTGGGCATTCCTTCAACTGTTTTCTATACACATGAGTCATGGAAATTGGCGATTCAACCGATTTTGTTAAAACTGTTGTTATATATGCTAATTAAAAGGCGTAGAATAAGAAAATATAGATCTTTGTACCATTTCGAGAACAGTTATCAATGTAGGGGACGTTTCTAACCATCATCAAATATAGTTCAAAAACAAGGGCCGAAAAAATTAATTTTCTCACAAAACTAAGGTGTATGTATGAACTAAGTCTAATGGTGTATATGTTACAGTTAAAGTCCGATGTCTGGTTAATGTCGACATTAACATGTTAATGTTTGGGTTAGGTTATGTTTTTGGTGGTTTTGTTGTGTGTTATTCTCGAGATTAACCGAGTAATGTCGACATTAACCGGATATCGGACCTTAACCTTAACATATATATTCTGTAACATAAAATGTTCTAAATTTTCATAGTTTTATAACTATGATTGCTATTTTTCTAAAGCCATTGAAAAGTGTAAGAGACAAAAAATCTGGACATTTTTCGTTTTTTCATATATCTTTGGAAAATATGGGTCATAAAAACTGCTGACTTAATGTATTATTTCAACTGTGAAACTAAATAAAAGGGAGGAGTTCAAAGAACGCTACTAATAATTTCCAAAATTGGCTTCAGATCGTATTTAAACCAGCTATAAATATAAATAAAGACTTTCAAACCCGAAAAAATATATTTTTTTAATTTTTATTAAGTTTTAATTATTTCTTTTGCAGTCACCCGACATCATGTTCGTCGATAGCAGAAATTTTGTCAGTATTATTTTTTCACACCATGCGTTACAAGATTTCCACTCCAAGAGACGCTTCCAGCGACAGATTTGTCCTGTCCAAAGGACACGCCGCCCCTGCGTTGTACGCCGCCTGGGCCGAAGCGGGCCTGTTTCCAGTGGCGGACCTGCAAAATTTAAGGAAATTAAATTCAGACCTTGAAGGCCACCCTACGCCTAGGCTTAATTTTATCGATGTAGGCACAGGGTCGCTGGGTCAAGGCCTGTCAATCGCAGGAGGAATGGCCTTTGTTGGGAAAAACTATGATAAAGCTAATTACAGGTTGGTATAAAAGACAATAAGCGTTGTTATATCTAGTATACTATACACATGCTATACTATACATGCAGTATGCTCTAGGCTCTAGGATAGTTTAACGTCACGGGGTTTAATATAAACCACTTATTTAACATCAGTCTTGTTTCTATTATGCTACGAATTTTTGGGTGGCTTGTGGAGTCTATTATCGATTTATAATGTCCAACGGTAATAATTAAAAAAAATATTCGAGACTACTATATTAACTATGGTTTTGGAGTTTCAACCAAAGGACCAAACAATTGACAAAATACTTTATTGATTTTAATGTGGCTAGGACAGTATAGTTTGTGGTGTTGTGTGCTAGTATCGATTTATTTATAGTCGAGGCTAAATTACACATTCCTTTTGTAGTAGTTTACAAATTCAATTTATTAGGTGTCCTGCGTCAGTGAAATATTTCTCATAAGCAATCATTATAGAATTTAGAATTAACCATCATTTCAGTGAATTTAATTAGACGATGTAAAATAAATTATCTTAGCTCCATCCCTACCGACATTGATTATCTCATAATTATTACCAAAAAATTATATTTAAATACTTAGAATCTATTTTATTTTTTTATTGATTTTAGGGTATATTGTTTAGTTGGAGATGGCGAAAGCGCCGAAGGTTCCATTTGGGAATCTGTACATTTTGCCAGTTACTATAAACTAGACAATTTATGTGTCATATTTGACGTAAACCGTTTGGGCCAGTCACAAGAAACATCTATGGGCCACGATGTTGAAAATTACAGAAAAAGGCTGGAGGCTTTCGGAATGCAAGCTATCATTGTAGACGGGCATGATATCGAAGAACTGGTGAAGGCGTTACACACTGCTGCAACCACTAAAGGGAAACCTACTGCCATCGTGGCAAAGACGTTCAAAGGCAAGAATTTCCCTAAGGTATCGATATTTATCATTTTTTCCTTGTTCTAGACGAACTTACATATAATGATTATTTATAATATTTTAGATTGAAAATCTGGATAACTGGCATGGGAAACCTCTAGGTGCCGAATCCGATCGTATTGTGGCACATTTAAAAGGCCTCATTAAAAACCCGGGTCCTCTACAACTTCATCCCCAAAAGCCTTTGAAAGACGACGCTCCAGTTGTCGATATTACGAATATTAAACTTAGTTCTCCACCTAATTATAAAATTGGGGAAAGTATTGCAACACGAGTTGCATATGGTGAGCTTTTACATATGGTATTTTTCTCTGTGTTAATTTAAATGGGAGAGCCAATGTATTGAATTGAATGAAAAATGAATATTGAATTTGAATTCTTTGTTGATAGGCAACCAACAATAGCATTGGTATTAAAGTTTAAATTTTATTTTTGTATTAAGAAAACTCCATTCTTGTAAAAGTTTATTGCTTCAATACACTTTTTTTTTTCTGGACATCTGGATATTTGAGCTGCAACAGAATACAAAAAATATATATATTTTTTAAAACCCTACTGATTTAGGACCTAAACGGAAACCCTGTCAGTGTTTCATTGTTTCTAAACTAATTTGTCTCATCAAAATAGCACTTAACGTTTCGATAGGTAAAAATTTTGTTTTAAAATAAATTACCATAAAGCAACAGACATAATTAAAAAAAATCAAATAAATTTGATGTACTCACAAAAAAATTTCAAAAGGAACAGCAAAAGGTAGAAATTTGTGAATTTTACATGGCAAAATTGTGTGTTAAATATAATATATTTAAATAAAAAAAAATGTTTTTTATAGGAAAATTTTAAAAACTAATTAATTTAAATAATAGGAGTAATATATTAAACAATTTGTTATTTTAATTAATGTAATACGCCTTGATGATGTTCCGCTAGAGCAATTTGTCTTTTTATTAAGGGTAAAACATGAACTAGAACGTGATAAATTTATTTTGACCGTTGAACGTGCATACAGAAGCTAGACATATATTTTGATTTATTACAAGCTTAAGGTCTCGCACGTAATCTCTATTAGTTAACCATTGGCTCGACTCTGTCCCAATTTAAAGCTGTTCTGGAGCTGAAACAAGTAAAAAGCATCTTTTTACAGGAACGGCTCTGGTAAAAATCGCTCAGTCCAATTCCCGAGTGATTGCATTGGACGGGGATATGAAGAACTCGACTTTTTCTGAAAATTTGAAGAAATTCGATGAATCAAGGTACATTGAATGTTTTATCGCTGAACAGAGCTTAGTAGGTACCGCCATTGGGGCTGCTTGCAGAGATAGGACGGTACCATTTGTCTCGACATTTGCTTGCTTTCTAACAAGAGCTTTTGATCAGGTAACACATTTAAACTTAACTATACATAGATAATAATTTATCAACTTCAGGTTTACTTACTATTTTGAAAGGTTAAGTATCGATAACTCACTTATTTATACATAGTCAAATAAATTAATCACCGCTAGAGGTATATTGAATTTCAAAAAATAAATTAACTGAAAACATAACTTCATGATTGTTAGCACATGTTGTTTTTGATTTGTTTATGAAGTTCTTATATAATATTTTTATAGTTACTTGTAGTATTTGGCTATTTTAATAGCAGATGTTAATACGGAACATGCCTTTTTTAGATTCGAATGGGTGCTATATCTCAAACCAACGTCAATTTTGTTGGTTCGCATTGTGGGGTGAGTATAGGTGAAGATGGACCCAGTCAGATGGGTTTAGAGGACTTGGCTATGTTCAGGGCTGTAAACGGAAGCACCATTTTCTATCCCGCCGATGCTGTTTCTACCGAGCGGGCCATTGAGTTAGCTGCTAATACCAAAGGAATAACATTTACCCGTGTTAATAGACCCACAACTGCTGTTATTTACCCCAACGACCAAGTTTTTGAAGTAAAATCCATTGACTTATAAACTAAGAAGTTTCCTCTCTAAATATCAAAAAATTTTAGGTCGGAAAAGCAAATGTCGTTCAAAAATCTGATAAAGATCAAGTAGTACTCATTGGAGCTGGTATAACGCTTCAAGAGTCGCTGAATGCAGCCAAGGAGCTCGCCAATTTCGGAATTAATGCTCGTGTTATTGATCCATTTACAATAAAGCCTCTAGACAAAAAGACGATTATTCAGAATATCAAAGAGGTTGGTGGAAGAGCAGTGGTCACTGAAGACCACTACTATGAGGGAGGCATTGGAGACGCAGTATTTGCAGCCGCTGCACTTGAAAGAAATATTGTTATTAAGCATTTAGCCATTGGGGAGCTACCCCGTTCAGGTCCACCAAATGCTCTTTTGGATCTCTATGGAATTTCTGCTAAGCACATTATTTTAGCTGCACAAGAAATTTTAAAATTATAAAAATGTTACTTTTGTTAATCGAGTTTTTGTTTTTATTTCTCCTATGTTATTTGCTGGTAATTTGTTTATTAATTTTCTAAAATAAAATTTACAAGTAATCATGGATTACTCTTTTTTAATAAAGTTACTTTACGAATGGTGTTGTATTTTGTATCATTTAAAAAATTAATATATAGAGAGAACAATTTCAACAGGACAAAATTGGTTCTTTTAAATACTTATTAAACCGTGGAATTGTTACAAGAAATGTTTGCTACATTTAATGGAGAATAACAGTTCAAGAATAATTGCTTTTCTATGATCTATTTTCAGTTCAATGCAATTTCGTAATTTTTTAGATCACATATTTATTAATGTATGGTTTAATAATTTAACAGTACGTTTTCTTAAATATAAGATTAATTAGTTTTATAACCAGTTTATCCGTAATTTTTATTCTTTCATTTAACTTAGTTAACTCATTCTGAAAATCAGTTATTTTGTTACTACAGAATGATATTGATTCTCTTATCATACGCATTTCGTCCCGTAAACTTCTAAGTTCTTCTAGGATGTTGTCCTTATCTGAAAATTTGTGCTTGATGAGTAATTTAAAATATATAAACAAACACTGATGCAACATACACATTTCTATAATATAAAATTAATTGAATAATAATTTAATTCATTTTTTTTCAATTTTAATTGAATAATAGTTCCCTGTTTTCCGAAAAATGTCTATAGATAATACAGCTAGGGGTATATAACATTTATATCCTTAGATTCTTTCTGAAATCTCCGATAGAAATTTGAGTTTTAGCAAAGGTATTAGTCATTATAGTAAATCCTATGTAAAACCTTTCTAATTTGGTTATATGGTTTCAGTGACCAAAATGGAAAATAATTTTGAAAATTTTTCGGCCTCCTGCCATCGATTAACCAGTACCCAGCTTTTTGAACAGAATATCATTCATTTATTGTCATTAGTCTGTGTGTATATTAAAATAATAGACGTTATTTAGGGGGTTTTTTAATGATTATGAAGGCTAGGTTAATAAATATTTAACTCTTTTTAATAGTTTAGAAGCGTTCTTTTTTATTTACCTCTTCAGAGAATGACGTTATATTATACAGGGTGGCCCATCGAAAACGTTCCGCAAGGCATAACGGCCAGGGTATTTATTTTTTCAAAAAATCCAAAAACACGTCAATTTTGTTTGTGAGGGGGACAACTTTTGCCCCAAAAATGATTACAAAATCTTCAACCCTCTAAGCGGGGGTGTCATCCCCCAACTTTTTTCAAATGGGAAGAGGGGTCAAGTGGCGCCGTAATAAAAAGAGCTTTCTATTCTCTATATTTCCCCGCCTCGTTTTTGAAAATCTGTCGAGTCATTGAGAAAATATGAAGGATTGAAATTTGAAAAGTTGATTTAAACATTTATCAGAGTAAATGATAAGGATAAATTCCTTGGACCAATTTGCTGTTTTTTCTTATTATTTCTAGATGTTTACGCATTTTTTCACTTGCCACAAAGTTGAACGATCAGGTGCGGTAGTAGCTAGATAGCTGTTCTGTGACTTGTGCGTTGAATTTCTTCTCAATATCGTTAAACTGACCCGCAATAGAATTTCCAAAAATATCAGCCCACACGTTCAATTTCTGAGGGTTTTGTGTGTGCACCTCGTGAGAAACCCTGGGGTTGTCCTCAGCCCAGTACCGACAGTTGTGCCGATTAACTACACCGTTCGAAAAGAAAGTAAACTCATCCGAAAAACCCACATTAAATAGGAAATTATCATTTGCCCCTCGTTCACTCATAGTTTCACAAAATTGCAAGTTATGATCAAAATCGTCTTCGTTGAGGTCTTGTACCAACTGAATTTTGTACGGGTGGAACTTGTGTTTTTTTAATATCCTTTGGACACTTGTACGATTCACGCCGGTCTTATTGGCTAATTTTCTTGTACTCAGCGTACTCTCCATGGCAACTTGGCTCAATACGAATACCTCCATAGCTTCATTTACTACAGGACCTCTGTCTCTTTTTATTCATAACGGAACAAGTTTCGCAAAATTTTGCTACTAACTCGCGAACAATTTTGCCATAAAGGTTTTTGTCAGGATGGCGTTCATTGAATATCTGCGCAACCCAATTGCCACATTCACTATTTTTAAAAGAAAGTTCGATTATTTCTACTTTTTCTGCAAGTGAGTACACCATAATTGTTAAAAAGTTTAACGATATTGAGAAGAACTTCAACGCATAAGTCACAGAACAGCTATCTATAGCAACTACCGCACCTGAGCGTTCAACCTTGTGGCAAGTGAAAAAATGTGTAAACATCTAGAAATTATAAGAAAAAATAGCAAATTGGTCGAAGGTATTTATCCTTATCATTTACTCTTATAAATGTTTAAATAAACTTTTCAAATTTCAATCCTTCATATTTTCACAACGACTCGATCGATTTTCAAAAACGAAGCGGGAAAATATAGAGAATAGAAAGCCCTTTTCATTGCGGTACCACTTGATCCCCCTTCCCATTTAAAAAAAATGGGGGATGACACCCCCTCTAAGATTTTGCAATCATTTTTGGGGCAAAAGTTGTCACCCTCACAAACAAAATTGACGTGTTTTTGAATTTTCTGAAAAAAAAATGACTCTGGCCGTTATGCCTTGCGGAACGTTTTCGATGGGCCACCCTGTATAATAAGTTAGTATTCTACCATTAACTAATTGAAGCATAGAATTTATAAAAAAGGGTAATTAATACTTTCTGTATAGTTCAATAATTATTACGTAATGTTATACGATTTGTTTCCAAATTTTCTATATTTGTAGAAAAATATGTATATAGAGTTGCAAATTATTTTTGATAATGAAAGTATTTTTTTCTTCTTTAAAACTATTCCATTTCTATATTTTTGGTATTTTATATTTCGACTGTAATTTTCCATCGAGAAATATATATGTATGTAAGAAAAATTTCCAGTGCTGGAAAAAATCTAATTTATTTATACAGGGTGAGTCTTAAATAAGTGCAAATATTTTCAGGGCTGGTAGAACTCGATAAAAGAAACATATTTTCTCTTGACCGTTTTTCAAATAACTCCAAAATAACCCAGTTACATAACCTTTATACAAGAGTGCTTCCTTTGTCTGTGAGAGGGCATCAATCAAAAATAAACCCGAACGTTAATTAATTTAAAAATTATTATTTTTTTTAAGCTTTTTATGAAGCTTATTGTCAAATATAATTTGTGATACTAATATAAAATTCCATATTTTCGCCAACTAGATTATTAGAGCATAGTAGATTTTATGCGCCTCCATAACCTGATGTAACAAAAAACATTTTTCGAAACAGCTTTGGAAAAATAATTTTTTTTCACAAAAATTCTGTACGGTGGCGTCTTTTTTGAAAGAGACAAAAAATGTAGTGAATACTAGAGGGACCATTTTACGAAAAGAAAATCGGTCGTTGGTGGAGTTGAAAAATATTTATACTAAAATTTAAGTAGGGTTGGGGGTAGTATTCACCCTTCCCGTACTTTTTCTTGATTTTTGTGAAAGTCAAATGTTAGAGCACTTAGCAAAACATAGACACCGAAAATCTCATTCAAGTTGGATCAACGGTTCTTAAAATATATGACAAAATGTTGAACACATTTTTTTAAAATTTGATGCCATCTGAAGTTGTCCTATAATTTTATCAATGTCTATATAAGCAGTGTTCCCGACATAGGACGGCTCTAGTATTTAGGAAAAAATAACAATGGAAAGTTATACAGTTTTGAAATACTGCATAAAATAATTTTTTAATAAGTTTGATGGTCACCAACCATGTTAGCAGCATTATATGATTAAAACAAATTAATGTGGGGTTCAGAGTATTCAAAATAATGTTTTCTCTTTATGCGGTGTGTTATATGATTATCTTATTTGAAATGCAATTTTCTTTATTGTATGTTACTTAGAATTATGAACCAATTACTTAGTTCAACATAGATACCTACATCTATTTTGGGTTTAGATTCTACACATTACATATTTTTTTCTATTTAAAGGAGTGGCATTTTTTGTGCAAAAGGACATACCTACCTTAAAGTCGTTTAATCTGTCTATATTTTTTTAAGCGAAATGATTGTCCACTTTGTACAGTCTTGTTCTACTTACGATTAAGTTTTTTCCATTAAGGTCCATTTAAATACTTACGTCACCAAAATTCCCTGTTCCTTGTTTAGAAATCGTATAGGTATGTTTTAGCTCTTAAATACCTTCATGTTCTTTTTATTGCTTTTCTTTATTGCTGGATGATGACAAGACAATATTTTGATTTGGTTCGATAATTTGGTTTTCTTCTTAGCAACAATTAAAAAATTAAATTCATTATTTAAAATTTATTTATATTTACTTCACTATTAATTACTATATATCACATATTAGTTTTATGTATTTTGATTGTTTACAACAACAACCAAAAATACATTTATTCACTTATGCTTGTCTAAATATAAATGTTTTAAGTTTGTCTTAGTTATTGCATCATATATTTATGTTGATATGATGTATTTTGTTGTTAACATAGGCAAACTGATTTATTTAATAGTAATAATTACAATTACACTAGTAATATCTTCAAATAGCAACCGTTTGGATACAGTAAAGTCTTTTACTTGTCTTTTTTTTTTCGCTGAAAATATATTAAGACAGTCGAGCACTGAACTAACAATAATATTTAATAAATAAATAAATTCACTAAAATTATCGACAATCACTAGATGGGAAGGCACTTCTTTATAAAATGTCCATAATATGTTCTATGAGATTCTAAAAATAATAGTACAAAAATATTTACAAATTGAATTAACCTTAATTTTGGTTAGGAATTGCAGCACAATCAAGTCCAAATTTTAATTGAAATTACTTTCGGCTTTTATCAGCTAATCTCAATTCCATTCTCTTAGTCCACGTTCTGTCACTGTTTAAAAGAGAAAAAAAGAAAATAAGTTTAATAAATAGATTTTAAAATTAATC